GTCAGTGCAGCTGAGTGTGTAGCAGGCTGCCTGCAGGGTGGTCCTGGCTGCTACTGTGTTTGTGTCCGTCCTTTCAGCAGCAGTAGCTTTGGCAGTGGCAGGACACCTGCATAGAAGTAGTGTTTGTGGTGCACTCTTGCCTTCTGTTTGGGCTGGGGGCAAGCTTACTTTTAATCATTATATATGCATTGCCTGAGTCCCCTGTCATGGATCACACTCCTCCCAATTATATTTTTTTAATCATCGTTAAATCTAGAAGATAGAGTTGAGAACCACACATATTTGATGTGTATTGTGAAGAAATCACAAAGATTACAAATTCATTTATGAATTTCCCAGTCTTTCATATTTTTATTTCTCCCTATTTCTCAAGTTTTAACTCTTCTATGTGATCTATAGAAATCAACATTTAAACCCAAAAGTCTCTCAATAGTCCTTAGTCAAGTGAACTTCTTACTACTACTTATATTGTGAAAAGTCAGAACATGAATTTTCTGCAAAAGTCACCTAAAAATGTCATTTCTGAGTAATTTATACTCATGGGAGAGACAAAGACTGGAACAGAAGTTAGATCAATGGAACCCATTCTCTGTGTGAATGATGTATTGAACCAGATTTTCCTAGCAACTAAGTTACTTCATGATTTAAACTTTTTTGTGTGTAGATTTTTTAGGCTACATGAGTATTAATTTGCTCTTAAAGAATAAGTTGGGACTTGAAAAGTTATTACATAATTGTAAGCTGAGGATCTTTAAGTAAACAAAAATTAAAAATGCCTAGAAGGTTGAAGACACAGTTCAAAGAGATATGAAAGAAATAAGGTTGAAAATATGCCAAAGAATAAAAGGTATTTTTGAAAAATAGAGATGAATCAAAATCCAATAATAATAAGTTTTCATAGTTTTTAAATATATCAGTGCTAAATGTGTTCAGATCATCACCAAAGATGTAGGAATTAATCTATATTTAGGTCTAGTGAACATCCTCCTTCACAGGATAAGCAAAGGAAAGCAAAGTTACCTTCATTCATTTTTATGACATAACTAGGAATTTCCATTTTAGTTATATTTTTATTTAAGTACTCTTGATAAAGGTGTAAATGTTATCTAGAAAGGTCAAATATTACACCTTCCCTAAAGTAATCTAATCAGTCTTTTAAGATTTGGAATAGGTAAGGTTAATTTTGAAATGGAGATGAGATCTGGCCGGAAGGGTAGATTGGATGAGTTTCTAAATTTGAGAGACGGATTTGTGTGTGTGTGTGTGTGTGTGTGTGTGTGTGTGTGTGTGTGTGTGTGTATGCATGCACAAGCATGTCTTTCTGAGGATTCAGGCGGTGGTAAGAAGGGGTGTCAAATTGAGTGGGTGCCAAATTGAGTGCAGAAATGCATTGTTTTGGTTTAGGCTGACTACAATATTATTGCATTGCACTAGACACATGGAATTCTAAAATATACTAAAAAAATCTGCAAGTAGCTTCTATTCCTTTTCTGTCTTAAAACGTGTTTTCAAAAGAAAATTTTACTTTCTTCTTTTTTTTTTCCTTTTTGTCTTTTTTTTTTCGTGTCCGGCAACGGATCGCAACTCTCAGTGTCGCCCCCGTACCGGACCGGGACCGGCAACGGGATCGCAACCCTCGGTGTTGCTCCCGCACCTCGCTCAGCCAGGGAGTGGGAACCGGTCTGTATGTGGGATCCGAACCCTTGGTGGGAGCGCCACCGCGCTTCCCAAGCGGCACACTATAGCAGTGCGCCACCAGGCTGGCCCAAGAAATTTTTTTAAAATTATTTTTTATTGAAATATAATGATTGTACTTCTTTATGGGGTAAAGAGTTGTATTTCAATACATGTATACAATGTGTGGTGATCTAATCAGGGTAATTAGCATATTCATTATTATGAAACAATCTTTTGTTTGTGATGTGAACACTTGATCTCCTCTCTTCTAGTATTATGTTGACAAATTTTATCAGTTTGTCTGGGCTTGATTTACTCTTTCCTTAATTAGAATCATTTTTTCTTTTTTTCCTAGTTCACTCACTCATTTACTCATTTCTCTGTCAAATAATTGTATATCCACTATATATCACACACTTTCGTAAGGACTAAGGGTATGAAAAGAGTAAGATGCAGCCCTTGCTCACAAGGAGCTTACAACTTAGTGGGGAGCCTGAGGCATTAAGTGGCAATTAGAAAACACTGTGGTGGGTCTTTTGGTCTTACTATCCAAGGGGCATATCAATGGAGGGGGTGTGAGAGAAAGAGAGGAGGGAAGCTATCAAGCAGAGTTAGTGGTGGTGATGAATCTTGAAAAGTAAATGATAATTCAAGTGAGACGGGTGAAGAACAGAAGAAAACAGACCTTAGGACAATGTAAGCACAGGTTCTGAGATAAGAAGTGGTGTTTGATGACTTGGAATGAGGGCTAACTCAATTCTCTTCAAGGATGTGGCCAAAGGCAAGGAATTTTCTTTCATTCTCAATCTACTACAAATTTCATAATAGCTTAAGAGGTCAGTAATGTTCTACACTTGCTAAGGAATTTATATTTGAAAACCACTTTCACAACAAAACTGCTCTGTGGTAATTGTTTTTATTGCTTGTTTTATCACCATTTTATGAGAGAGAGAAATTGAATAGTCTATCTTTAATTTTACAGTAAATGCAGAAGGGATCTTTTCTTAATCTCTTTAAAGTTAATAGCAGTAGTACAAATATTATCAAGAATCTGGTTGGGCTGGCCCGGTGGCGCACTGCTACAGTGCGCCACTTGGGAAGCGCTGCGGCGCTCCCGCCGAGGGTTCGGATCCCACATACAGACC